AAGGCATTAATTAAAGATAGACATCATAATTAAGAAGTTATAATTCAGTAAGTTGCAACTCCTTGTAAATTTATTTTAATATAAAAATTCATAAATAGTTGCAACTCAAAGTGTTGCAACTTAAGTTGCAACTAGTTAAAAATTTTAAAAATAATTATAGAAACCATTTTTAGCATTAATAATAACAGATTCATCAGCAGATAAAGCTTCTCCTTCAAGTTTTTGTTGACGAATACTATTCCTGATCCTTGAACTTTTAAAGAAAAATTGTAATTTATCTTGAGGAATTTTTAATGTATTAACAAGTATTTTAGCTTTTTCAATAAGTATTGCATCACTTAAATTGTTTGATGCTGATAATTTAAAATAAACTCTTTGAATACAAGCCCAAGTTCCAGATAAGTGACAGATTTATGCTATTTTATGTTTGGATTAATAGTTTTGAATCAAGTCATTTTTCTGATATTTGTAAAATATGAGTAATTATACTTTCATCAACTCTAAGGCTTCACTGTTCTTTGATCCAATTAACATATTGAGCTCGAGTCTTTTTACTATTATCATGAGCGTAAATACAAAGGTTTTATTTTTGAATTTCAGTAAGAATGATTCTTTAAGAGCTATATTTTTAGAAGGATACTGTTAAATAACATGGTAGCGTAAGTATTTATTTTAATAGAAATGGATAGATGTTACATAAATTATGTAAGTTTTTCATTCTTTTTTCTTAATTTAAATATATGGTGGAATCTAATTTCTTTTTACGATAACTTTCAACAATCTGCTTTCTATTTATATTGGTTTATTTATTTACTAACATATTCTATTTACTTATAATTATATTCATCTCATATGATTATTTCTAAATCTTTTTCAACTAGTTTGATTATATTAATTCATTCAAATACTTGTAAAATTTAGATTAATTATTTTTATAAGTAATTATACAACTGATTAGAAATATTCAATAAAAAAAATAAAAAATACATTTACAAATTATATAAATATGCTCTTTTTTGTAAAATTATTTTCAATAGTTAAATTTATTAGCATTTTTGATTTCTTTAAAAGAGTTATTTAAAATAAATTGGTTATCACGTGATAATACAATTAATTTTGATTGGTACTGATCATGTGAATGCATTTATAGAGAGTGCTCTAATATATTCAGGATTTAGAATTGCTTGCACATATAGAATATAAAGGGTGTAAACTTAACTTTAAGTCCTAAGCTTGAGACTGAGTCATAGCGTACATATAGAGTGGGTATGCACTTATAGAGATTGCACTTATGGAGAGTTTACTGTATATTATTTTTTATTTAATAAAAATGTTAATAAGTAAATTATTAATAATAATTACCTTTTTTGTATTTAATGTAATTATATATATTTTTTTATTTTATATATATTATTTATTATGATAAATTAATTTTTTCTTGTTAGAATTTATATCTTAGAAAATTAATATTATATAAATGTTTAGAATTTCTTTAAATTGTTTTCATTAGAAAATTAAGAGTTATTTTTTTTTGAAAATTAAAGATGCTTTCCTAAGCTATTTTTAAACAATTTTGAATTTTAAGATGTGTGAGATTAAACTATTTATTTATAATAAATATCTTTATCTAAACTTTTAATAGGTTTTTTAAAATTCAATTAAAGTTTAGATTTAAAAAAAAAGTCATTATAAAAATTTCAAAAAAGGTTATAATTTTAAACTATAAATTAAAATAGATTTCAAATAATATTATTATTAATAATAAATTTAAAAATAAGTTAATATAATAATTTATAATTAAATCTTGGATAATTAAAATAAATATTGAAAGAAAAGTATTTTTAATTTAAAATAAATTTTCTTTATTTAATATTTAAATTTATAATAAGTTAATATATTACAAATAAAAAGTTATTTATCTATATAAATTTTTTAATTTTATAAATATCTTATTTCTTAAATGGTTAAATAAAATTATTTATTAAAAATTATAATAAAATTAAGATATTTTTGATATCTAGTGATCATAAAAAAATAAAATTTAACTTATTATTAGATTTGTCTAATTATAACGTATTTAATGAAACTATAATTATATTTTAATATCAATAAATCAAAATTATATTATTTTAAAATATTTTAAATCGTTAAAAATGAATTTTGATCTAATATTTGTAGAAAAATATAATTTAGTTTATTAGATTCTTCTTATAAAAAAGTATTAAATAGTAGTATTTTTATATTTTTAAAATTAATAAATAGTTAGATATTCTGATTTAAATAATTAGATTATTTTTATAATAATTCATTACTTATTTATTCTTAAAAAATTATTAATTTAATAGCAATATTTTTTTTTGGATTTTGCATAAAAAACATTATAAGATTTATTATAAAAATTATAAAATTATTATTATATTAATAAATATTTTAAAAAATATTTTAAAATGATTTTAATTAAAAAGTAAAATTGCTTTTAAATTTAGAAGCAAAGCTATTAAAGGATAAAATAAGAAAGGTAATAAAAACTTAAAATAAAATTATAAAAAATAATATATTATAATAAAAATAAAAAAATAAAATAAAAAAATAATTAAAGAATCAGAAAAATTAAACATATATTACATTAATATTTAATAGATATTTAAGAAGTATTGTAAAGTTAATTTTATTATTGTGAACAAATAAATATTATGCAGTATATATGACCCAGATGATTGATAAATTTGACAAATCTATATTTGTCATATATGATAAATTAGACATATATAATATATAAGTTTTATCTTTCTATATAATATATTTTATATAAATAGATAGCCTTTTAGATCATATAAAAAAGCAAAATTTGACAAGTCAGTTTTTAGTAGTTTTAAGAGGCAAACAGGCTTATTACATTATACTTTAGTTTTAGTAATTTGTTTATTTATTTTTTTTCTTTTTCTTGTTTTCTCTTTTATTTTCATCTATTTTCTATATTTTTAACTTGCAATTAAACATATTGTTTTATAACATAATTACATGGTAAATTGTGAATTAACATTTGTGAAACACTTGCATAAAAACATCTCTTTAAAAATTAGATAATAAATGAACTTGAAAAGTGTTAAGATTACTATGCAATTAAAAAGAATCAATATTTAGACACCTTATCTAACTGTTATAATTCGTAAGAATTATACGTTAATATTATTAATAATTTAAAAACTATTATTTGGATTATTTTATATATAATTAAGACAAAAATAATATACTGTAAATATAACTAAAATATGAAATTAAAATAAACTATAAATTATAAAATAGTAAAATTTTTATAGTATAAAGTGATTGATATATATTATTCTTTTAATAGTTTCTATTTTAAATTTACTTATATTTTAAGTTGTTTTAAAATTAATTTAAAGTATTTTTAATATTTTTATTCTTTTTTTTATATAACTAAAAACTTTAAAAATTTATATTACTAATTATTTTTAAAAAGATCATAAAAATTGTTAGATATTTTTAATAACTAAAGATTTATACTTTTATGTAAAATCAATTGTTTGAAAATTATGAATAAAAATTCTTATATTTTAAGAAATAAAGAAATTAATAATTACAATTACTTATAAAATAATTTTTTTTTTAAAACATTTAAATAAAGTATTTTACAGTAATATTAAAAACTTTTTTAAACCAATAATAATATTCTTTTAAATTATAAAAAACATTTTTTTTTTCTAGTTAATTAAGTATATATTTATTAATTAAGTATCCAATAAAATTAATGAGCTTCAATTGATAACCAAAGAGGTATATTAGTAATTTAGGATTTCCATTTGAAAAATAGGATTTTCGAATATTCGTATACAAAATATATAAAAATTAAATATTTGGATTCAAGAACGAACCAACTTAATGAATGGAGTCAAGAAATATTCCCCAAATGTAAGTGCAACATCCAGAGCGTCAAACATTCTTGGCACTCAACGTTAAAGTTACACATAATTTTAGTTAAAAAAGATAATTCATTGATCATAAAGACTGAAGTGACAGGCACTAAAGAGAGACAGTTCGATGTCTCATTGATTACCGCAGAAAAGTCCAATAACAATAATTACGAGACGGGATAGGCTATATATATGTAAAAAATACATCGATAATTAGTCTTAAAGGTAGGACAAGTATTTATATATATTGTGTCATGATCATTTGTGGGATTTTTATTAACTATATTTGTAGAACAAGTAATTTTTTTTTTCGGAATCAATCAGAAAATGGGTGATTTGATATCATGTCAAATTTAGTTAATTATAGTGACTCATCATCCAAAAGCCTGAAAGTTGGTTAAGTCCGCCTCCACGGAATTGTCAACTAATCTGTCAATTTTATAACCAATTAAAACCTAAAAATTTTAAGGGTAGACCGAAAATGAAGTAATTGGATGTTAAAATTTTTGTCTTACCCCTTAAAAACTTTAAAATCGTTTCATATTTGAAACAAAATATTTATTTAAATATTGATTTATTTTTTTAGTAATGCAGAAAACATGTGGGTAATTTAACATTTAACATGCCAATAGATTTAGGTATTTAATGCTCATTCGAAGAATGGAAACGTTTAAAGAAAGAAATGGATTTTGTTTTCCCAAATAAAAATCATATGAAAATGGGCTCATTTCGATTAAAGTTTTATGCAAATGCTTCTTTCGTGTTATTTATTTCATTGTACCTTTTCCAATTTTAAAAGAATCTAACTATAAATAAAGACTTAAAGAATTTTTATCTGACGCCTACATTTGTTTTTTAAGCAATTTTTATACAAATCAGGTATGTGCATGATCATGCAATTATAAATAGTGCTTTAAATACAAAGACTTTTTCTATTATTACAACCTTTTTTACATTTTTTTTTAAAATATTTGGCACTCTTCTAATAATTTTTTCGTAATTTTCCTGAATCATATTTTATTTATTTTTTTTTTTTTAAAAAAAAAAAGTAGTTTAAAATTCACAATGTTGAACATTAACAAATGGTTCACAAGAAGGGTAATTTTGTCTGCGCCATTTTTAGTATAAAATATAACAAAAACCATCTATTTACATATTATTTTTATTTTAGTGGGCCAAAATAAATGAATCAATATGGACAAGGTTATTTATTTTAACATCAATCATTCAAACTATATTAGTTATAGTATTAGAATCTCGGGTATTTGAGCGAAATAATTCGATAAGATTATTTGTTAAAGGTTTTAAAGACACTGAAGAATTTACAACATGTAAAATTGATTCTGCTGAACAACGAATGATACGTATCGAACAAGAAAATTTTATTTTTATTATTTTTCAGATATATCAATTGTGGTTTTGTTTCAACGCGGTAAGGAATAGGTATCAATTTTTTCTTTTGGAAAAAAAAAAAATTTAAATCTTTTTTTTTATGTATATCTTAGATTTTTGCCCAAAATACGATACAACTTTTCGCAATAACAATTGTGAACACTATTTGTTCAGTATATAGTTTTGTATGAATTTATTCTTATTTATGACTTTTATACGACTCGACGAAGCAAAATAATTTAAAAAAAAATTTAAATCGTCTTCAGGTTCAAATTGCGGAGGTTAAAATTTGGTACACAGATTTGAACAATTCCTGTTCAAATAAATTCACAAAACAAACAAATACGTCGTTATACGATTTACCTTTAATAGTAACTTTAGTAATATTTTTATTACTTATGGGATTTCTTGCATTTAAGTTATATCAACAATTTGGATGGAAAATTTATAAAAAAATTGGCGGAAGTCTCAAAATACAAAGTAAACAAAACTTTTTATTTTTCTTATTTGATTTGATGTTTTATAAAAACTGAATCATATCTTGTTTATTAATATATAATTAGCGATATACCGAAAACATCTAATTTTTGTGATCTTACTTAAAGTTAATCTGATCTTTATCTTATTATTTGCCATTGAATCTTGGATGACATTCGCCATTGAGAATAAAACAAGCCAATTAGAACATCTTTATTATGTTCCAAGAATAATTTATTATTTTCATAGGATTGTAACATTTTTAATTATTATCTTGGAGTTTATTGCATATCAAAGCGTAAGTATTCCAAAAAATTTTTTTTTGATATGATTGATATACAAATTTTTAAATCGGTCCCTCATTTGTTTACAGATAAAAAATGAATGTAAATTTGGGATGTTGGTTTTCATATTTCTATGGATGGCAGTGATAGCTGATTTGATCTTGGTATTAATATTTTCCATTCGAACTGCAGAAGATAGTTGGTATTTCCTCATAGTTTTTGGTGAGCTTTCGAGTTTTTTTTAAGCTATATTTTTTTCTTTGCGTTTATTGAACTTCAATTAAATTCTTTTGTTTTCACTCAATTAGTTAGTGTTTCCATCGTAATATCCACTGTAAGTATTAATCTATTATTTCATTGGCGTAAGAGCTTTGTTTGTTTAATAACAATTTTTTTTTTTTTAAAAAAAAAAAGGTTACCTGGGTGTATAGCATACTTGTTACCAAAGACTTTGGAAAAGGTTTAAAAGAAATTGGTAAGTGTTAAGATTTTGATATGCTTAATCACCTTAAGGTACAAAACTTATGTCAATGCCTTTTTACTTTAGTAATCCAGTTTAAAGAAAAATCCAGCAGGGTTTCAGGAGATAATGGATCCGAATCGTTGAGACGTATTTCTATTGATTAGAGAGAGTTATAAAGTTTTTGATCTAGTAAAATCTCTTAATTGTAATATAAAATTTGTGTGGGGTTTAAACATTCTAATAGATTTCTTATCATAATCGTTTTTAAGAAAGAAATAATTACATAGGTGGAAAAAAGATAATTTATAATCATGATTGATTTCATCGAATTATAAACATATAAGGATTACTTCTCTCCGCAAAGAAGAAGTGAGGCGATTGAAAAAAAATTCTTATCCGTATTTATAGTTTAATCGAATATATAATCAATCTTTAATTATAGCTTATGAGTTTTAGTCTATAACTCTTATTACTCCGCGCAATAAGCACGATTAAACTATTAATTATTATTAATTTTTTTTATCTTAAAAATAAACTCTTTTAAAAGTCTAATTATCTTTCTCCAAAATAAATAAATAAGGATTATCCTTTTTTCTTTTTTCACATCAAACTGATTTTTTCGCCTTTTCAAATTGCAAAGAAAGAAAACTTCAAAATGATAAATGCTATACAAGAATCTTCGTCAAGATATACTCCAAAGGTTGCGACTAATTCTACTTCAAGAATTACCCCAAGAATGAACACCACAAGAAACGCTTCCAAAAACGGTTCAGAAGAACGAGAATTTTTTAACGAGGGACTCCGTCGTTGAATCCAAAATGTTGTTACACGGAGAAAAATCAGCTGTTACTGTTCCCCATTGCCATTATTACGGCACGTGCTACTATTGTGGCGTTCGCTATTGCATCTATTTGTCGATATTGTTGTTTCTGTTGTCGCGCTTTCTACGGATCTGTGTGTCAATGCAATCATTGTTTTCGATACGATAATATCGCGAATCCTGAAAGGTAAGATCAATTGACGTTTGATAAACCACGACCTTTTGATTAGACGTTAATCTTTACAGTGCTATTAGAGCTCTATTTCTATTTGGAATAATTTAAAACCTACAAACCAAGGAAGAAACATTTATAATTTCTTATAAAGTTGCTCCGAAAAATCGAAGTTTAATCGATTTTTATTTTATTTTACATTTCCTTTTTAGGAAGATCGTCTTATTTATTCCAAATTCAATAGATTAATGTCGTTCTAGTACCAAAATCCTTTTAAAATTTTAAAATAATAATTATGAAAGACAAATGTTTGAAAATGTTTAGTGGATACGAACAGCTCTTCTAATAAATTTAATAATAAAAACCCAAGCTAATTCTTTATTCAAATTTGTACAACCGTAAACATCAACAAAATTTACCAAATAAATCAACCACCATACTCATTACCCCTTTAATCATTTCACGGTGAGGATTTCTGAATCAATTAAAAAATAATAATATATATATGTACATAAATAAATACAATAAAATAATAAAATAAAAAAAAATAAAAATAAAAATAATAACAAATCACCTTGATATTTTTAATAAGGATTTATCCCCACGTCTTGGTGAAATTCGACAACAAGTTGATCGTTTTGTTGTAATTTATTCCAAGTATCATGGGTAATATTTGTGGTCCCTTGGATATTTAAAAACTTCAAATGATCTTTCGAATGTTTCAATATAACATCAATATGTTCATCCTTAATACAGTAGCATGACTGTAATTGAAGTATTTCAAGGGTTGCACGAGATTCCTGAAAGAATTTATCAAGTGATTCATGATGAAATGACCATACCATAATGATATTCAAATCGCGTAGGGAAGGTGGTAAATGTTTACCAAGTATTGGAAGGAAAGTGTCAACATTCTCAGAATGGGAGGCGATGTTGACACCACCAAATGTTCCTGTGTCTATTACTAATTTTTCCAATTTTGTATTTGAAGTTAAAATTGGTAAGAGCAATGGTAAATGATCATGATTTGGCGTCAAGAGAGTCAAAAATTCTACCAAATGTTTACAATTTTGAGAAATAATTTGTAACAAATTATTCACTTCATGGGCTTTAATCTCATTCGTCCTCGTATCTAGGACCGTTAATCCAAATTTCGTTTGAAAAATCATAAAAGTTAATAAAGTGAATGGAATCTTTGACCCGAATACACTCAAATTAGTCAAATTAGAGAGTCCCCTCATGTTACCCTCAATATCAACACCATCACCATCACCACCATCATCACCACCGACGACAACAACCTTATTATTAACCCAATTACCAAAGTTCAGGGGATGATTGGATAAATTACATTTTTCAAATTTTAACGTGTTCAATTTTCTAAGATTACTAATGGATAATATTATATTATAATTATAAAAGTCCACGCCTCTAAAGATTAATTGTTCAAGGGAACGATGAATTCCATCCGTAAATTCCAATATTCCCAACACGCCTTGTTCACCCAAACAACCACTTTTGACATTCTCGATGATTAAAATTTTCAACCTTTGTTGTGATTGAATTAAATAGCATAAATTCTGTAACTTGTTGATCTCATTTGAAGGTTGATTAAAATGATTATAAATGGAGATACGAATCTTTTCAATTCTTTTGGAAAGCATTGAACAGAGAAACAAAAGTTTTGGATTAAAATCACCGGCGCAATCCAATACTTTCAATTGTTCAAAACAATCCTTGGCATTCTTACTAATCAACAAATTTAAATTAATATCATGCCAACCAGCGGACCCGTATATATTATTTATTGTGAATTTTAAATGTGTTATCTTTGGGGAATTGTTAACAAAATGTTGTAAAAATATATTTATAAATGGTAATGTTTGTATCATGTAATCAACATGCGTGAAGTATGCCCATCTCGTTATACAAAAACTTGCTTGCAACACATCTAATTCTCTTAAAAATGTAACATAGTTGAATAATGAATTGCTTGGAGTCTTTTCCTCGAGATTTCCCAACAATTTATTTATGTAATTACGCTCTTTATTTGATAATCCTGCACAATAAACATCCATGAGACGTATGGACAATGTTTCTGGTGTATATTGATGCAGAAAGATAAATGGTCGCTTCCAAAGAAGTGGAATCGCAAATCGACACCAATCTCGATTTACAAGCGCACAGCTATGTAACGTGAATAAATCATCTGAATGAAATTCAAAGATTTTAGAAAGGCAAAGTGATGGTAGGTTTTGCGCCATATATATATATATTTTTTTTATTTAAAATAAAAATTTGGAATTGAAGAGAGAGAAAAAAAATTTTTTTTTTTTTGAACCAATAAAAGCAATGAAAGTCGTTAAGAAAACTGGGTTCTTGTTGTACAATTTACAAAATAGGTCGAACTTAATTTGTTAAAGTTTAATGATTGGTAATTGATGACGTAAGGAAGATCAATTTGAAAATTGCTTTAAAAAAAAACAATAAAATGATGTCGTAACTACGTATTCCGTACCCCAAATTTTTTATTTATTTTATAAATATATATATTGCTATTGTTTTGGCAGATTTTTATTATTTTTTTTTTTTTTTTTTTTTTTTTTACTTAAAAAATCTTGAAATCTTTTTTTTTTTTTTATTTTACTAACTTGCCTTTTTGCAAAGCCTCCTTTCATTGCTGATCAAACTTTTGAAAAAAAAATTTTTTTACAAAAAAAAAAATAAAAGGGTAAGAAATTTAATTAATATAATTATCTCTTTTTTTATCATAAAGATTGGTACAAGATATGGACATCCAAAGTAAAAAAAAAAATGGGAAGGAAGGTATCTGCCCAAAATGAAAAATTCTCACCGAATTAAAATTATCAAGATAAAAGATACTAATGATTTAAAAACTTGTTGCTAAATAAAACCAGTGTTGATTCTCAATAAGATTATTTCAAAACAAATTTTTTCACTTTTTTTTGATCAACCAAGAGTCACAAATAGTTTAAAATAATTGATTTTATAACTTTTAGCAAAATTATCCTCCCTCCCGTTTTAATTCACTAATACAATGAACAACGAACGAACACCTTCGAAAAGTAACGGCAAGATTTCATCATTGCTCAATGATGATGAGCATCACCCAGCCACCAACGGTCAAAACAAGGAGATAACAACGACCAACAGCAATGGAAAAGCATCTCCAAGAATCAAAAAGGAAATCAACATTTTTAAATCCCCTAAAGATGTCACCCCAAAATCTAACATTACTTCAAATGTCAACTCCAAAAATACCAAGAAAACTACTTCAAAGACCGCAACCGCTCCGAAAGTCAAACCTGACAAAAATCCACGTAAGAGACCTCTTTCACCTTCGGATTCAGAAGGAGGTAGAGAAGCCTCACAAGAACCCGAAAAATGCCATCATCCTAAACATGATGAATACACTCAGGATATTCTTCCTCCAGTCAACAAACGAGCTAAGCTCGATAAGCCACCAAAATTGGTTGGCATGCCTAAGCGATTAGAAGGTGTATTGAATATAGATCGTGGTACTAAAATGTGTAGTCGATGTATCAATCAAACGGATAGAGATCCACAGGTACATGATAATTAGTAATACAAACATTTAATATAAACATTCACCCTTTCTTCGTGATGGATAAAATCTAATAACTTTCTTTTTATAGTATACTTCTCACAAGAAATATGTCTCTCGTAAATCCGTTTACAAGAAAAACGAACGTGCAAGGCTCAAAATCGACATGAACGGCGCAACCGAATAAATTAATCCGCATGACTTTGGTTGCCATATTTAGCAGGATATGAAGATTCATTAAACAAAGAGTAAAAAATTTTTTTTCTTCAAATGAACGGAGAAAACAACGTAAAATTTTTTGACGTTCTTTTAAATAATCTTTCACTTTTTCATATTATAATTTATATATATAGTAGTACATTTAATATTTAGAATTGGTTTATTATATCAAATATCTCTTTCACTTTTTTTTTTTCATTTTTTTCACTTTTTTCACATTTGTTTCGTTACAATAAAATTTCTTACAAAATGTAAAAGTATAACAAAGACGAAGTTGCGTTTATTGTTTCCTTTAGGAATTAATTGATTACTTAAGTATTATTTAATTTGTGTGCCGAAAACCAACATTACACTTGCCTTTCAAATAAAATTATAACTTCATATCAACAATAGAGAAATTCAACCTTTGTATTGAATGAAAGCGGCAGTCTTCTATTTTCATTTAGAATTTGTTATATTAAGAAGAATTTAGAAGAAAAAGAAAGCCGTTTATTCATAAGTAGCGCAGACTATGTGTGATTGCCCAAAATAGGTTCATTCATTATACCCTTTTCTTTGTATTGTATGATTTTTGACAATCCAATCATCCATACGTAATCGATTTGTGGCGCAGATTTGCATCTTTGTTTTCTCCAACCCTTTGCCACAAAACGGACAACGAACCAGAACCAAAACAAAACCGCGAATAAGCGTTAGTCGATTTTTAGAACTGATCCACAATAATTAATAATTATTTTCTTTTAAATTTTCCGATTGGTTCGTTTTATTTATTATTGAAAGAATTACTTTGTAAGAGCACGTGATTTACGACGTGAAGAGTTAGGCATAAGAGCGTGAAGAACAAAAAAAAAACACTTTTTGGTATTGATGATTATTTCAAAGGTTTCGACGTACGTAAATCCGATTTAACGGTTTATCAATTTTTGCAGATTGAGATCTTTAATGTAGGTATAAATAAGAAAGGGACGAGAAGGGAGGTGATCGATACGACTCTATGCAGGTACTTTAGAAATAATATAAATGATTAGTTAATATTTCGAAAAAGGAGGTGGTTTCCGCTTTCGAAGAACTGCGGCGCTCAAAATCGAGATATCAAACCTGAATTTTTTTTCATTTAAATACCATAATTTTAGACTATCATCAAAAAGGTGATCGATATGCAAAATTCATATGAAATTTCGACATCATCTTTTTTTCCTACCCCTTTTTTTCAAGTGAATAAAGTATTGTATATCCCAATAAAGCTTATCAAAATTAACTGAATATCATAATAGATGTACTTACGTAAGAGAAAATTTTCTGCCAAATTTGATATCTAAAAGTATGGTGTACTCACTTATCTTTCAAACAATAGGATGACCTCTTATCAAAACAATTTGACGTAATGTATATTATAAATTACATGAAAAAAAATTTTTTTTTGATATAAATTTGATTATGACTCGCGCGATTTTGAATTCCGCCACTCTTACTTTCTTTCGTTCATTAGTCCTTTATCTTTCAGTTACGCGTATTATTTACATAATTATTCTCTTTTTTTCCACGGCAAATATCCTCCTTCTCTTGTAACAACCTCTTCACAAACTCCCTTCTTTTTCTTCTTGATTATTCGTCATACACGATGTCATATGTTACATCTAAACGGCGGCCCGAGTTATTTCATGTTGTCTTACTATTCGTAGCAACTATAATTTTATCGTTCTTTCTTGTGGATCCTATTTATCCATTCCCTGAATCTGTTATATCTGGAGATCCGTGGTGGAGATATGACCCTTTAATTGTTATCGTCACTGTTATAGATGATACAACTTCTGACGGAAATAACAAGGCTGAAATGATTGTGAATAATTTAACATCTAGTGATTATTTTAAGGAAGCCGGTATTCAAAATAAAATTATTTATGCTGATAAATATGGATATGAATTGGTTATTAAAGGAGTTAATCAAAATGAGGCAAATTGAAAATTTCAATTATTATGTTTTTTTGCTTAAATTATTGTTTTTTAAATAATTAAATTACCCCTCCCTTTTCTTTGAAGTCTTGGGGACATATACCTGCTTTATTAGAAACCATGAAGGAATATCCAAAATCTGATTGGTTATGGTGGATGAATTCGGTAGATGATATTTTACATTTGTTCGAGAGACCTACCTATCTCGTAAGATACACTTTGTTAACCATCTTCTTTCTCGACAGAATATATTTATCTCGAACTATTCGATTAGCCTTTCGTCGAATGTGTTGCGAAATGTCACACAAGCCTCATATGCGGATAGGCAAATGTTGATTGGATACGATTGTCATGGCCTTAACACAGCATCATTTCTTATACGTAATTCTCCCTGGGCAAAAAAATTTTTGGAAACATTAAATAATCCTGGATTATACAAGGATTTTGAAGATGAAGAAACCGCTATGCAAATGTTGATTGATTTTGAAACTATTGAAGTTGGTTCAAAGATTTCATTTGCTCCTTTGGTAAGTTATAGATAGATATTATTATTATTATTATTTTTATTATTAAGGTAGCTATTCAAATGCTAAAATCTTAACGTGTGTTTTTTGTCTTTTTATCGACAGCGAACGTTGAACTCTTTACCGTTTAAACATAATTGTGGCAATGATGAGAAGTATGTATGGCATAAGGATGATTTTGTTGTGAATTTTACTGGATGTGAGGAAGCAAAGGAAGATTGTGAAAAACGATTTGAAGAGATTTTGTTACGCACAAAACTGGTAAAACAAGAAAAACTCTAGGGTTTCTAATTATTGTTTTCAATTTGGTTATTGTATCAATGTTTTTAATTTCTTAAAAAAATATATATATTTATATATTAAAATAAAAAGATTCGTACAAATAAAATTTGTGTTTCAATATTATTAAAAAAAATTTCAAATTTTCAGAGGAGAGAGAATATTTTTTTTGCATGTGCTATTTATTGTTGGAAAAACTTTTTTTTATAAAAAGTTTAATCCAGGTCTTACACGTGGTAATACAAATTATGAAATGCTTTAGGTTGTGAAACCAATTGTCATTATAGGCAATTGTATAGCTCCAAATTTGGTTATATAGCATTTATTCATTAATTATTTTTTCCCTCGTTTTTTTTTTTTTTTTTCAATATGTTGAGTTCTGAATTTTATTCAAGTCTTTCAAAGGATTTAACAAGTTTATTGACAGATACATCAGATTATAATATGATCATCAATGTGGGAGAGAAACCTAATGTGAAGGAGTATCATGTACACTCGAATATTTTAAGGGTTCGAAGTAAATATTTTTCTAAAGCCGTTAGTGCGGATTGGGTTAAAAAAAAGGATGGAATCATATTATATGAGAAACCAAATATTGGGAGCGATGTTTTTGATATTATACTAAGGTGAATAGAATTTTTACGGTATATGCTCTCTTTCGGCGAAAAGTGACGGAAATTTTAAAAAAAAGTTATTAATTTTTTTCTTCCTGGGAAAAAAAAAATTACTAGTTACATTTATGGGGGGAAGATCACTTTCACCGATACCACAAGTTCATGGAAGATATTTGATTGTTTAAAAGCGGCAGATGAATTATGCCTTGATGAATTTTTGGAGTACGCACAGGATTACCTGTTGGAGAATCGTAAGGAATGGTTAAAGGACAATTTATCTTTCATGTATCAAGACACATTCCCACCAAGTTCTTTAACAAAAATACAAGGATATTGTATAAATCAAATTCGAAAATATCCTTTCATGTTCTTTAATTCAATAGAATTCGTTGACATACAGGAAGAATGTTTGAGGGAGTTGGTACAAGATGATCACCTGGATATTAGTGAATTGGAATTATTCGAAAAATTAATTGAATGGGGTATGGCCAAGACGAGGGAATTAAATCAAACAGACAATCAAACATTAAGTGAAAAGAATTTTGCCTTATTATCATTAACTCTTGATAAATTAATCAAACATATCAGGTTTTATAATATGGATAGTTCGGAATTTTATTCAAGGGTCGAACCATTGAAATCGGTTCTGGGGACGAAATTTTATGATGAGATGGAAGTTTATCATAATAAATCCAGGATGAATCTCACAAAGAAAGGTGAAGGAACCTCAAACGGGGTTTCCACCTCTTATATACCGAAATCTATTAACTTGTTACCACATCGTGGGGCGATAATATCAAAAATAATGAACCTGGAACAAGGGGCGATGATTTCAAGTTGGATTGATAGGAAGGATTTACCATCAGATGGTAATTACAATGACTTCACACCAGAATATTATACTATAAAGAATATTCCCTATAATTTCAAATTATTATTAAGGGGTAGTGATGATGGATTTTCCGCAAGCACATTTCACAAGAAAGTGGGAACGTATAGAAGTACCATTACTTTGTTTAAATTGAAGAATTTCGATGATTTTTTTATTGGTGGATATAATCCTGTTGAATGGGATTCACCTTTTTGGCCACAATTTAAAGAGTGTGGAAATGCGTTTTTATTTAGCTTTTCTTTAGGAATCGGAAATAACAATAATGATATGAGTAGAGCTACTATCACAACCAATCGTCAAGGGAGGATCGCAAGACCGACGAGTGAAGAGAGAGGAAATGCTTTAAATATGTGGAAGAGTAGCGGTCCAAGTTTTGGAAAATTTGATATTTTAATGCAAAATGGTGGCATTAGACTCAAACATAAAAGTTTTGTTCCAAACATCATACCTTTAAAAGACGGTGAGACTTTTAAGATTGAAGATTATGAGGTTTTTGAGGTCACCCAAAAAGTTGAAGATAGCACAGGTAGGAGAGTAAGAGATAATGAGGAGATTGCTGTCGAAATCCAATAATAACTAGGTATTTATATTTATATAATTAATTCTTGAATGTTAAATTTAAAAATAATCATTAAGGATTATTTGAACACTATTAATAATAATAAAAATAATAAATGATGGTTAAAGATTTTTTTTTTTTCAATTTCAATCCTAAGATCAAAAAATGTCTTTCTTTTAAAAATCGATAATCAACCGAATTTATTTCATTGATATATTTTATTTTTGCCGATAAAAAAAAAAAAACTTTTGCGGACTCGCGATTTGTCAACCTATTAAAAACATGATTCTTGACGTGAATCTTCCGCAGTAAATTATTTGTTTCAAGACAATTTATATTTTTAAATACCTCCAAAACATAAGTATATTATGTTACATATTTTTTGAACAATGTTTTCTTTCCCTTCATTTGTAATTTTTTGCTTTGAGAGGTAGGTGCGAAATTTAGTGAATATTGAAATTGAAAATTTTGATTGGTTAACTTAGAATAAATATCACTTCCCAAGATGAACGGAGCGATATTGACCAAAGTTACGATAAATTATGGTTGTTGTCACTTTACTACAAAAGTTTTGAAAAATTGGCCGGTTTAAAGAAGAAACTTGGATAAAACCGATTACACAATGATTGGGTGGACGAAAGTAACAAAAGAATTCATTCATAGTTTTAGATGGTATATCCTAAAAAAATAAATGTTAACAATGTAAAAATGATGATGAATGATACCGTAGTTTGCAAAATCTGAAAGCAATTACATTTCTTACTTTGATGAGTCAAAGCTGGCGCAATCCCAAATGCATCACAAGATCAATTTGATAAACAAATCATTAGAAAACAAAGGATTTTAGAAGAGAATTTCAAAGAACGTATCGTTGAAAAAGTAATTTCGGGAACTTGTACCATATATTAAATTCTGTAAATCTTACCATAAATAATCTTGAATAAACAACTGTCGCGTTCACTAATAGGGAAGATTCAGTAACGATAATGCTTTGCTGTTATAACCATGAATATTTATAAATTAACCGTTAAAGAAACATTAATAAGAAATAATCGATTTAGGGAAAAGTACAATAATTTAATTTAATTTGTATTTAAAAGGAGAATTTAATGAAAGTGATTAAAACATGAACAAGATATTAATTTTAAGTAGGAATCTTGGTTGAGAAGTTATTAAGATAATTGGTTGCACCAATTCAAACAACGAAGCAGAGTTTCAATAATAAGCTGTACTTGACAAGTTCAAAGTAGAAAACTGATGAAGAGATAAACGTCTTTGGCCAATGCCATGTCGTCAAAGCGGATAACTAGAAAGGATGTTTGGACAGTTTTTCATCATGACCTAAAGATAACGACATACGAACCAATTAGTTTACATGTTTGAGTGTTACATTTCTAGCGCGTTTAGATAAAAGTGAGCCATAAGAGTGAGCAATGCAGGTTGTATACATGTGAACGCAATAAACCTTCTAAGGTGAGAAGCTCCAAAATCTGAATCTTTGAATTGATATTTTTATTAAGTTGACAAGCAATATTATAAAAATTTTAGCTAATCATATGATCGAACACATGCAACTATATACATATATGAGCAAGAAAATTTCTTTAATTTTCTTGATGTTTGTCACTGCTTCCTTCGCTAAATACAGCACCCTTCTCAATAAATCTTTTTTCGGAAGAACCAATTCCATATCCTTGAGCTTCCTTACAAGCAAATTCTTCATCCCCAAAATTAATCGCGATTTTAACGTTTCCGTCTGAACCAATAGTTGGGTACCAAATATGTCTTAAACCTGCAAAAGCCATTCCTAGAAATTTGCCATTCTTCGTAAAAAATACTTCACCAGTTTTGGGTTTATATCCACA